CTACATACTTTCCTTGGTTCACACAATATGCTATGCCAAAGACAAACTAGATTATGATTTAGTATATATGAGAACCCAGCTTGTTTCAATTCCAACTCTTCCTTTCATCTGTTAATTCCAGAGAGTTACTTTTAAGACTTCAGAAACAATATAGCTTAGAACTCTGAACCACATCCTTTCCTAAATATGTGTTCTGGCCTGCATCTTCTTGAGGCACAACTGGGAATCTCAAATGCAGGACCAAGAGAGCTGACGGAAACAACTGGTGTCACATTTCCAAAGCAGAGTGGAAGGGACAAGTTAAATTCAGCTACAAAAAAGCTCTAAAGGCCCTGGCAGCTTATGTAAGCAGTGGTTAAGGGAACTTACATAAGTCCCTTAGAAATCCACTTGGCCTTTCATCCAAGCTATTCTTCCTTCCTTCCTTCCTCCCTCTCTCTCTCTCACACATTCATTTATGTGTTCATTTGTCATTGGCTCATTGTAGCTACCTTTGACCCTTCTGAAAGTCATGCATCTAATTTACAAGCCTGCCAACTTGCAGCAACCCTTTCTCATAGTAGTTGAGTGTCCTGAATGTGGTCTTTCAGGTACCAAATAACTAGGAAAATTTTGGAGGGCAAGGGTTGGGTTTTCTCTGTCACTGAAGCATCTTTCTTCTTGGGGAAAAAAGGTCATTCTATTAATAGTCTACTGTGATTTCTTGTATTTAAGCACTGATATATTTGTGCTGCATTTATCATTGCATATTTAAAGCTGTAACTACAAAATCACTTATCTCTGGTGCTGCAAAAAGGTTTGCTTACTAAACTAATCAGCGGACCCTTTGAAAGTAAAATACAGGTCCTTGTTCAGCGACCGTTCAAAGTTACGACAGCACTGAACAAGGGGGACTTATGACGGGTTCCTGTAGTTGTAGCTGTCACAGAGTCCTGCGGTCATGTGATTGCGATCGGGCACTTGGCAAGCAGCTCTCAATTACAACGTTGTAGCATCCCATGGACATGTGATTACTATTTGCAACTTTCACTGCCAGCTTCCGATGAGCAGTGTCAATGGGAAAGATGGCAGGAGGTCACAAATGGTGATCACATGACTGTGGGATGCTGCAACTCTGTGGGATTTGCCTAACTACGGCAACCAGGACTGCTGCATCTGCTGTCGTAATTTGGCATGGTCACTGACATTGTGCTTTACGACCATGTTACTTAGCAACATAGTGGCTATTCCCAATTGCCATTGTTAAGTGAGGACTACCTGTATTGGCTAGGTCCACATTGTAATAAGCTATAACACAGTTTGCTTGGTTTTGGTTTGGTGTGTGTAAATCCAGTATTTGTTGTATGTAAGCCATCATGTGCAGCTCTGTTATGGAACTGGTGAATGTCCTTCTACATTAATGCTAGACCAAGGCATGCAAAGAAGGTCCATACTTTCAAAGACCATTGGTAGCTTCCTGCTATGTTTATTTTGGAATGTGTACTGAACCAGCATCAGCTTCAGGTATTCTAGGATAAATTATGTTAACTATTGCAATCTCTGATGAAGCAAAAACTAGATGACTAATGGCTCTGGATAAAGATGGACCTCTAGCTAATTCTTTATCAAAAACTTCCTGCCAGTTCCATGGAGCCTTAGTAAGCATTGCAACAAGGATGCAGAGAAGTGCATTTCTTGAAATATATCTTAAGAAAGTATAGATGGTTGTAGGATGTAGGGCAATAATTTCTACCCTTTGGAATATCAAACCTAATCATTCAATCCAGCATAACATGACATGTGCTTGTGCCACTTGCTGTGGTGTATTCTAAGTTGGACCAAAAGCAACATCTTTTCAGTTTGTGTATGTTGTGCAAAGATTTATTGAAAGAAACATTGTGCAAATGGAAAATGACTAGATTAGGAACATAGGTGTCCAAAAGCAAAATGTTATTTTTCTCCCACAAAGTTTAATTAAAGGTTGCTTTGCAAGGATAATGGGGATGAAGTGTGAATGATTTTCTCTTTTTCTCCTCCCCAATCCAACAGAATGTTGGAAAGAAATGATGTAAAAGGGCTTGGAATTCTGTCTGTCCATCAACAGAATAACTGTCTAAAAAACAAACAAACCAGAATGGAACCCAGTTTGGTGTGGTGGGAGAAGCCAGCAAAAGAGAGATCAGAGTAAAAAATGGGCTTGATCTGATTGCAGGCCACCTAAGAAAAAATATTCGGAAATTAATTTCCCAGTGAACCCCTATGAGAGAGACAGCTGGGGAGCAGCTACGAATGCTGCCAACCGCTCCATCCAGCCCCCTGCTGTTCTCCCTTCAGGTTAGGTGACCCAGAGCAGAGCAAAGCCTGCCCTCTGCTTCCCAGCACGCATACACATACAGAGATAATGCACACATCCTTCTGGATTAGATCCTGTCTTGTTCAAACACATACATACATACATACATACATACATGTAGAGGCAACACAGATGCACACACTCTGACTAGTCCTTGGGGAGGAAATGCCTGTATGTGCATGCATGCACACATGTATATAGAAGGAAAGAGAGATGTCTCCTTTGGCCACTGTTGGGATTGGAAAAAAATGGCACAAGTCACGCTCTGCATGCTTTCCTGACCTCTTTTATATCTGTTGCACCCTTGGATAAACCGTCTATAAGCTGTACTGGCATCTGTGCTTCTCTTTTTCTGCATGCAAGTATAAAGCTGACCTTTGTCAGTGCAAAGGCTGGAGCAGACAAGGCCTCAAATTCAAACTTAAGCACTCACTCTGCCAGAGGAATTGTATTGGAGAAACAATACCAAAAGGAAAAAAACAAACAAATCCGAACCTTAACCATTCCCTTACCTATCTGTTTTCCTGAGTAATGTCCTCCCCCTTCTGACATTACCTTCCCCTAGTTGAGATTCTGGACATCTGGATTCATGTAACATGCTAAGCTAAAATATTACTGGCTAGTTTGTGGCTCAGTATGTTGTATGGATCTGGCCATAGGGGTTTTTTATGTTTCAGTGTCTCCTGCAAAATCAGGCAATTCAGTAAGTCAGTACGAGTGAGTGTGTTGCACAGGCAGGGCCAGTGTATGTTAAAAGCCAAAGCAGAGGGAGAGGTTACTGCCAGCTGTTGGTAGCAATACAGGTGTTTAGACCTGGACTGTTGCTGAAGATATAACTCTGATCCTAAGAATAAAAGACAGAGCTTTCAGCCACAAAAAAATCAGACAGCATAATGAAATGTGGTAGTATTTCTATATATTCTGTCTTAAGTTTGACCAAACAAGCAAAGCTACATGCAAAGAAAGACAGAAAAGAGGCAAGAGTTTTGTCTGAGATTCTGGGAAGTTGGTGCTCTTCAGATGTGTTGGACAAGATCTCCAGCTAGCATGATGGAAGTTGTACTCCATCATATCTGGAGGCTGTCAGAATGGGGAAGGCTGGAATAGACAAATTCTGGGTTAGATGGATCAAGGCTATGATAGCACCGACCACTTGCCTATATTCACGCAGGAAAGCAGGTGAAGCTCCTCTCGCCTTTACACACCCACCAGCTTTCCTTTCCGTCCGGTCAGCCCTCAAGGGCCTTCCCCAATAGGCTCCCTTCAGATCCTTGGGACTACAGCTTCCATTATGCTGGTTGGAAATGACCAAGTCCACGATCCAATGCAGCTGAAGCACGAATGTCTGCCGGGCCCCACAAGCCTTTAACTCCTCCACCTGCTGCACCTTGTGTAGCAAGAGCCCGTGGCGGAGATGGC